TATACATATGTAGAGAAATGCAAATAGATTCATATTTATCACCCTGTACAAAAACTAAAGTACAAGTGTATCAAAGACCTCAACATAAAACTGGATACACTGAATCTAGTAGAAGGGAACATGAGCAATAGCCTTGAACTCACTGGCACCTGAGACAACTTCCTGAACAGAACACCAATAACTCAGGCACTAAGATCAACAATTAATAAATCTGACCTAATGAACCTAAAAATCTTCTGTTCAGCAAAGGACATTGTTAATAGGACAAAATGGCCACATATAGAAAGGAAAATATCTTCACCAACCTTACATCTGACAAAGGGCTAATATCTAAAATATCTAAAGAACTCAAGAAATTAAACACAACAAACAAAATAACCCAATTTAAAACTGGGGTACAGAAACAAACATAGAACTTCCACAGAGGAATCTTAAATAGCCAAGAAACACTAAATGAAATGGCATATACTCACTTATAAGAGGATATTAGCTGTCAAGTACAGAGTATCATGTCACAATTCACAGATCCAAAGAAGTTAAGTAACAAGAAGGGCCCAAGGAAGGATGTTTGAATCTCACTCAGAAGGAGAAATAAAATAGGCATTAGAGGTGGATGTATGGAGGGAACTGGGTAGGAAAAGGGGATGGGGAGAGGAGCAGGGGTGGGATTAGTAGTAGGGAGAGCTGGGGAGAGAGGGCCTTGTAAGAGAACAGAAATCAGAGATAGGAGCATCTCTTGAACTTACCAGAGAACTAGGATCATGGAGGCCCCAGGAAGTCTATGGGATTCAACCTAGCTGAGCTTCTTAGCAGCAGGGGATTATGGAGCCTGAAGTGTCCACCTCCTGTAGCCAGGCAGGACTTCCAATGGAAAGATAAGGGCACCCACTCACCCACAAAATTTTGACCCAAAATTTGTGTGCAAAGACAAAGATGAGGCAAAGATTGAGGGACTGGTCAACCAAAGACAGGTCTTACTTGAGACCCATCCCATGGGAAAGAACCAATCCCTTACACTATTAGTGTTACTCTGCTATTCTTGTAGACTGGAGCCTAGCATAACTCCTCTGAGAGGCTTCACCCAGCAGCTGATGGAAAACAGATACTGACACCCACAGCCAAGTATTAGACAGAGCTCAGGAAGTCCTATGAAAGAGTTGGGATTGAGGGAGTCAAAGGGGTCAAAGTCTCCATAAGAAGACCTACAGGGTCAACTAACTGGGCCCCCTCCCAGAGACTGAACCACCAACCAAATTGCATGCATGGGCTGGACCTACAGGCCCTGGACATATGTAGCAGATGTGCAGCTTGGTCTTCATGTTGGTCCCCAAGTGGAATGGAGGAACCTTCTGACTCTCTTGCCTGCCTTTGGATCTCATACCCCTAACTAGACTGCCTTGTCTGGCCTCAGTGGAAGAGGACACACCTAGTTCTGCAGCAACTTAATGTCCCAGGGCAGGTTGGTACACATGGGGGACCTCCCCTTTCTTTAAGGAGGAGAGGGGATAATGGAAGAAGGGTGTTCAAAGTGGGGAAGAGGAGGAGCTGCAGTCAGGATGTGAAGTGAATAAATTTTTAAAATCAGACCTAAAAAGAGAGAGAGAGCGCCTATGCAGTAGACTCTAGTTCTGAAAAGATAAAATGTCCTTATCTACACATATGTATGTGGACCCAAAAGAAAGTAGAAATACTGACAAATGTCAACTTCAGCTATGTTCTGAAGGATTGGTATGAATTTTAGTGATGCCACATTGATAAAAGAGAGAATCACCTGGGAGATGGACTTCTGGGCATGCTTGTGAGGGTTTATCTTCATTACATTAACTGACATGGAGAGGATCCATCTTAACCTTAACGGTGAGCAGGACCATTCCCTGTCTGAGGATCTTGGACTATACAAAGCAAGCAGAGCATTACCACAAAGCTATTCATTACTCTCCTTTGACTGTCAGTGGAATATGACCAGGACCTCCAAGATCCTTGTTTTAGTTATGGTTTCATTGCAGTGAAGGGACAACATGACCAAGATGATGCTTATAAAGGAAAACATTTAATTGAGGCTGGCGTACAGTTCAGCGGTTTAGTCCATTATTATCATGGTAGGAAGCATGGCAGTATGCAGGCAGACATGGTGCTAGGGAGGTAGTTGAGAGTTCTACATCCAGACTGGCAGGTAGCAAGAAGAGTAACACTGGGCCTGGCTTGATAATCTGAAACCTCAAAGACCACCCTCAGTGACACACTTCCTTCAACAAGTTCATACCTACTCCAACAAGGCTACACCTCCTAAGAGTACCAGTCCCTAAGAGCCTATGGAGGCCATTTTCATTCAAACCATCACATTTCACTCCCAGTCACCATAGCTTTGTAGCCATATCATACTGCAAAAATACATTCAGTCTAACTTCAAAAGTCCCATAGTCTGTAACAGTCTCAGCAATGTTGTCTCCATAGTCTATTAGTCTCAACACTGTTTAAAAGTCTAAAGTCCAAAATCTCTTCTGAGACTCATGCAATCTCCTAACTATAACCTCCTGTAAAATCAAAATAAAAAAGCAGGTAACATACTTTCAACATACAATGACAAAGGGTATATACTACCATTCCAAAAGGGAGGAAAGCACAGTAAGGAAGTACTGAACCAAAGCAAGATGGAAAAACAGTTTAGGTAAACTCTAAATTCTGCATCTCCATGTCTGATATCAAAACACTTTTCAGACCTCCAACTCCTTTCAGCCTTGCTGACTGCAACACACTTCTCTCTCTTAGGCTCGTTCCATACCTTGTTAGCAGCTTTCATCAGCAGGTATCCCACAGCTCTCGCATCTGCAACAATTTGTGGTACCCAATGCAATCCAGACTTCAGCTTCACAGCTTCACACAATGGCCTCTCTAGGCCTCCATGCATGGACCCCCTGATACACACCTGGCCACAGTAGCTTTCCTAACTGTGGAGAGAAATTCCATAACGCCTTTCTTGTATCCTTGACTCTAAAGCCAGAAACATGTGGCTGAAGCTGCCAAATTCTGCAGCTTTTTGGGGACTGGCACATGACCCCCTCTTTCAATTATATCTTTAATAGCTTTTTTTTTTATAGTTTTCTTTATGCCTACACTTGGCTGTCCTGAAACACAATCTATAGATCAGGCTAACCTCAAACTCAGAGATCCGTTTACCTCTGTCTGTGGAGGTCTGGAATTAAAGGTGTACAGTGACTGGCCCTAAATTTTTAATTCCTTTTCACAAGTTGAAAGCTTAGCTAGGTACGATTTTCCTCTGAGGTCACCACTCCTTTTGTCCCATTTAAAATTGGAGAGGACAGGAACTCCACAAGGACCAAATATATCTGGGCACAGGGGTCTATGAGACTGTTTTTCCAACCAAGGACCATGTATGGATATAAACTAGAACCCCTGCTCCGTCATAGCCCATGGTAGCTCAGTATCCAAATGGATAACCCTAGTAAAGGGAACAGGGACTATTTCTGACATGAACTCAATGGCTGGCTCTTTGACCTGGCCCCCACCTTTGACCTCCTCCCCTGAGGGAGGAGCAGCCCTGTTAGGCCACAGAGGAGGACTTTGCAGCCAGTCCTGAAGATACCTGAAAAAATTAGGCTTCTCTTTAATCTGTTTATCTTCTTGAACATAGGACTTAGCTTCATTTCACTTCCTGATGCCTGCCCCCTTTCTCCTTAAATTGTGCATTTTGTATTTTCCTTGCTCAGCTTGCTCCTTTTGATCTGCATAAGCATGACCACTGATACCCACACAATAGAGTCCATACTATGATGTTTTCAGATTTCCTCTGCCAAAGCAATTAACCAAAATGCTTCAATTTAGCCTCAGGAAGATTTTCTTTTTAACAAGGGCAAAAACTAGCCACATTCTTAGCTAAAATATCACCAGAATGGTCTTTAGGTCACAAACAAACATTCATGTCCTTCAAAACCTCTTGAGCCAGGCTCCCACAGTTTAAGGCAAGCTAAGCACCGCTGTTTTCTATTACTAAGATGTTCCATTAAGCCCCATTTAAAGCATTCAGCTGCTTTCCTAATCCAAAGTCCCAAAGTCCCTATTACTCCAAACAAAGCATGGTCCAGCCTATCACAGCCTATCACTCCCTGGTACAAATTTCTGTCTTAGTTATGGTTTTATTGTTGTGAATAGACACCATGACCATGGTAACTCTTATAAAGGAAAGCATTTGAGTGTAACTGGCTTACATAGTCCATTATCATAGTGGGAAAGAAAACACAAAGACATGGTGCTGGAGAGGTAACTGAGAGTTCTACATCTGGATTGGCAGGCAGTAGGAAGAGAGAGTAACACTGGGCCTGGATTCAGCACTCAAAACCTCAAAGCCCAACCCCACTAATACATTTTCTCCAACAAAGCAACACTTCCCAACAGTGCTACAGCCTATGTGCCTACAGGGGCTATTTTCATTCAAATCACCACAATCCTGAGACCTCTGTTTGTAACTCATGATGAACTGGAAATTAAAACAAGCCTTCCTCTCTCTGGTTGTTTTTGTCTGGATATGTTGTCAAATTGCAAAGGAAACTAAAGAAGCTAGAATGTTGGCTCATCAGTTAAGAGCAATGACTGTTCTTCTAGAAGAACTGGGTTCAATTCCCAGTACTCATTTTGCAACTAATGACAGTCTATACCTGCATTTCCAGAGGATCCAACTCTTTGTTCTAGCTTCCAACAGCATCAGGCACATAAATGGTGTACAGACATACATTCAGGCCAAACACTCATATACACAAATTTAAAAAGTAACTAAGTGAGCTTCATTCTAGCTTCATCATTTTTTTTACTTTTTTAACATTCACACAATGAGCACACTTTAATCTTATCTGTTAAGAAAATAACAACAAGCCCCCCCCCCAAAAAAATTTTTTTTTTTCAAAAGAAAACACATATTTATTCAGTTCACAAATGGAGTTGCTCTGTGCTTGGTAAAACTATTCAGGGAAAACTATCACACCAGATAACAGCATTTCATTTTATTACATGAAAAGGTAAGACCCATAGCATGACCACACAAAGTCACACAACTGCAAATGCAAATACCCAACTATAATACAGAGAGAATAATGGTTCATGTCAGTCATAATCAAAGAATCAGCAGTCAAAGCAGGACACCACTTTCACCTATTATTGTAGGACTACAGGCTTTCTTTCTAGGTATTGTGTTAATTATTTATAGGCTTGTTAACTTTGTTCTCTAACTTTGGTATGCTATACTAGTAAGAGTAAAGAGAAAAGAGAGCTGTTTGATGACTTGGCACTAAAAGACTATCCTAAGGGAATATTTTGAAATAAATGAAAACATTGTATTCAAAAGACTGATCACAGCATTATTTGTAAGAATGAAAATTTGAAAATAACCTAAATTTCCAACAACTGGAAGAAGGTTAAGAAAATTACAATAACACTTTGTAATAGCAATGTAGCATATCTGCCAAAATCAGAAGGTTGAGGAATTACAACAACACTATGTAATAACACATATTATCAGCAATGTATCATATCTGCAAATATCACTAGTAATCATACATAATGTTTAGAGAGAAAGTAAGAGCAGAAATTGTATTATAAAAAAACATAGATGATCAAGAATTTAAAATATTCATACCCACAAAAGGACAATCTCATTATAAAGCATTCAGACATTTTCTCACCTTTTATTGCATTTCACTTTCCAAGTTTTCTATAATTAACACATCAAATTCATAAGGAGAAGAAATGCCTTTTAAAAGTAGAGTAAATAGCAGATTGTTTTAGATGTGTTCATTTTTCCCCATAACACAGTCTAGAGCATCCTGAAAGCCTCAGCCTCTGAGCAGTGGGGCAGGGGAGCTAGGTTATGGAGAATGGACATGAAGGGTTGGAGTACAGAAGAGAGGGCACAGGCTATGAGGGCCAGGGAGGCAGGGGTTGGCAAGGGAGAGTCAGCCAAGGAAAGGGGCATGTGGAGCCAGGGAAGACTCTGACTGCTCATCGAGGTCTTTATGGACCCTTAGTAGGCACTGACGGTGTTCTCAAAGGGCAGGGGTTAAAAGGGACTTTAGGAAGACACATGGATTCCTTAAGGAACAGGGGAGGCAAAAGGAGGGGAGGTAAACTACTTGGGAAAGAAAGGGAAAAGGACAGAGGGCAATGGTGATGAGTGGAAGGAAGGGGCTGATGGCCACAGTAAAATCCCTACTCTATGCCTAAACCAAACATAGTTTGCTCATTGTGGACAAATGCAGGACAGTAGAAACCTGCCAATCAAGGCCTGCACATAGCTGGAATCCAGGGCAGCTCTGTCCAGTCTGCTATGATGGAAAGGCTCTAATTCTGGGTACTGAGTACTTGAATTATGATGTAACAGAAATATTCGTTATTTTATATTTATACTTAAATAACCAGATATGCTTTGTGGCTACCACCAGGGTTATGACTTCATTGGAAGCAGAATTCAGAGGGGTTTGACCCTAAAGCTGTGCCTTCAGGAGAGAAAATAAGAAAATATAAATTGTATATAATATGGTAAAACAGGAACAATAAATGGATGTAAAATTTTTAAAAACCTGTGTCAAAAACTGTCCCTATAACTATGAAGTACATGACACTAAACAAACAAAAAAACAATGCTGTGAAATATTTCTAAATTAAATTGTAAAAATGACACTGAGTGAATATAATGAGAGCAATAAGGATAAAGAACAAGAAAAGACTTAAGGAAATCATCTACAAAAGACAGTTTATAGAGAATTAACAAATTTGAACATCAGGAGAGATAAATGGGACCATCAATCCCAAACCAGCATTGCTGTTGCCAAAACAGTCACTTAATTACTCAGGAAATCTTTATACTATCAGCTACCCCTCTATTATAGGCCAATAAGTAAAAAATTATCTGTCTTTGAAATTTTACAGACTTAAAAGTAATATCTTGGCTTTTTGGTTACAATTTAATACATGGCAGTAATTTAATCTAATTAGCTATTTGATATATTTTCACAAACATGTACCTTGAGATACTGAGGCATTTTTAAGAAAATTATTGAAATTACTCATTTTAATATAAAATCAAATACATAGTATGTTTATTTAGAGAGCTGTTGACTATTGATAACTGAGCAGTTTTCACATTATAACATTGACTTTTCTTTGATGATGGTAATGAAATAACCTCATAGTTACTACATGCTTTTCTACTTACTTTCATACTTAGGCAATGCAGAATTGGTAAGATGCTCAATCCTCATTCAGAAAGGCACATGGGATAGACATCAGAAGAGGGAGAAAACAAGGAACAGAACAGAAGCCTACTAAAGAAGGACTCTGAAAGACTCTACCCAGCAAGATATTAAAGCAGATGCTGAGACTCATAGCTAGACTTTTTGCAGAGTGTAGAGAATCTTATGACAGAAGGGAAAATCTTATGAAAGACCTGGAGAGGATAGGAGCTCCACAAGGAGAGCAACAGAACCAAAAAATCTGGGCCCATCGGTCTTTTCTGAGAATGATACTCCAACTAAGGACCATTTGTGGAGATAACATAGAACTCCTATATATAGGAGTTCTATATATAGATATAGAACTTCTATATACAGATATAGCCCATGGCAGCTCAGTCTCTAAGTAGTTTCCTTAGTGAAGGAAACAGGGACTGTCTCTGACATGAAATCAGTGGCTACCTCTTTGATCCACTCCCTCTGAGGAGGGGGCAGTCTTACCAGCCCACAGAGGAAGACAATGCAGCCACTCCTGATGAGACCTGAGAGCCTAGGGTCAGATGGAAGGGGAGGAAGACCTCCCCTATCAGTGAACTTGGGGAAGGGAATGGGAGGAGTAGAAGGAAGAAGGATTGGGAGGGGATGAGGGAGGGAGTTACAGCTGGAATTAAAAATGAATACATTTTAATAAAAATTTTAAAACAAAAATTACTTTTACTCTATTAATTTTCCACAAGCCTCAAGATAATTTACATTTCATAAATTCATGTTTTCTTTACCAAAAAGTAGAAGTAGTGTACCTCCTGCCTCCCAGATAAATGAATGTCTGCAATTCTCAAAACACAAATATGAACACTATTTTGAATGATTCAAATCATGGAAATAGTTTCATTTTTAATGCTTTTCAATTTGAATAACAGAGTTTTTAATAGATAGCCACTAAATTCAAGTTATAAGATTTACTACAAAGTATTATTTGGGCCAGAGAGTGTTGAAATAGTTAACTGAATTTTTTTATCTTCATCTATACTTTACTAAGCATTACTTATTATTTAATGAAGAAACACTCATGTGTATTTTACCTTAAATTTTGAAATCTGTAGTCTTAGAAGCAAAAATTAAGCATAGAAAATATAGTACTTTCTTCTAGAATAATCACTTATTTCACATTTGAGAAAGAAATGAATCTCATGTTAACATGTTCTGACTACACTGGTTACTTTTTGAAATGCACTAATTTGAACAAGTAATTATTTCTTGAGTGCAGTATTATGTTTGGCTAGGTCAAGTACAATGACCAATTATAACTTAAGAAGGACTACATTAAAAGGTTTGTCTGCCACATAGTCCTAGGTCAGATTGCTGATGCATGTTTTGATTGTTTCCCACTAAGGTTATGTCTAACACAGTGGTAGTAAAAGTTAACCAACTCTAATGTCTCCCTTCACCAAATAGTAGTGGGGAAAGGGACACATACTTGTCTTCTGCAGCTGGCAGAACTCAAGGCTTCAATGAGTGGGGAAGACCTCCATGTTGGGAGTCATTATATACATTGTGATCCTGCAGTGGGTCAGAATCCACAAAATAGAGTTCCCCTGCATGGATGTCAGAAAAGTTAGCCTGAAATTCACCAGGATTGAAGCCAACCCACACAGTATACCTATAGTCTATGGTACGTATGGAGTAGCCCATGATCTTTATATCATTTAAGCTTGGTTTGTCAGAATTCCACTGAGGGAAATCTGCAGGCCGGGGGTACTGGCTATAGGCAATCGAGTCCCTGGAATTACCAAGGAAGTATGGATCCTCTTCCAAGTCATGGGGTTGCAAATGCTTCTGGAGATTCTGGCCTTCTCTGCACAGCTCAACATGAAAAGAAGGAATGGGGCACCGAGGAGGAACTTGCAGTCCTGCAAGTCCAGTGAGCGTTGGGAAGAGAGATACAAGTTCCACGAGGTCCGTGACAAGCCTGCCTGAAACAGGAAACATCACAGTTTAACCTAGTACACTGTAGAAGCCAGCCAAAGCAAAAGCCTCTCTGAGCACCACCTATTTCCCATGTAATTTTCATCCATTTTTAGCAAAAGGAGCTTAGAAATATCACTACTTCAGGACTTCACTCTTCACTATTACAACCATCCAAGGTAATAGCAATGTAAAATTAAGGTGTCTCCAGCTTGTTAGATGCACTTTAAAACTACTTAAATTTTGAAGCCAAATAATTAATTCAGACAAGCTTAATCAATCAAAGCTCTACTCATTGCATAAAAGTCTGTTGAAGATTACTCATTTCTAAATATTTGTATTTGATTCATATTTTCTTCTTAATATGGTAAATACACCAAACATGAAGTTCACATCCGTAACCACTTTTTAGTGACAATACATGTATTCACGTGTCAGCATCACCATTACTTCTACAATTCCTTTTATATCCTGTCCCCACTACCGCAGCACTTCACTCTTCACGCAAACCAAATAGCTGTCCATTTTTCTACCACTATCACCTGGTAACATCCGTTCTTCTTTCTAGCACTATGAATTTGACTACTAGAGATAACTCATGTAAGTGATCTAGGATGGTATTTGATCCTTTGTGAGTGGTTTATTTCACTTAACATAATGTCTTAAAGGCTCATCCATTCTATAGCATACACTAGAATTTCCTTTCTTTTTAAGAATAGTCTACTGTATGTATATATCATATTGTGATATCTACTATATGTACATACTACATTGTGTATATCCATCTATGGACTGACACCAGTAAACAGACCATCTCTTAGCACTTTTAAGCTCCCTGTAACTTATGTAGATAACTCCAGGGGCACAGCTTTTATGAGTTACTACCCATGTTGAAATGGTGCTTCTGAGTCATCGGTGCTCCTATGAGTAGCCTCATGTCTATTCTAGGAGCTCCATTAAAACTCATTGATTCACCAAGTTAGACTTTGGTGTAATTGTTACATTGGTCTGTCATGGGTTCCCTTTCTCGGGGTGAGTAGAGGTGAGTTGCAGCTCCCTAGGAAAAGAAGCTCATACAGGAAACACCACCATGAAAGTAGAAGACAACATCACCACATTGTACCTCATTGAAAAAAATGTTTACTCTCAATCTAGTCAAGAGGATTAAATACTGTGGGACACTGCACAGAAAGACTAGTCTAGATACTTGTCAAGAGGAATTCCAAGACCTGAGGAGGCAATCGGATTCTATATGGCCTTGATGTCCATTGTGAAGACATTAACTCAGTGAGATGGAAGCACAGAGGGCTCCTGAGTAGGACTGTAATTGGAGGTCTTGCTTTCAGTTTTGACTTTCATCTTTGCAATGTTATGGATAAAAGTCTGGGAGTAAGTCCATCCCAGACATAGACTCCACCATTGATATATATCCCTAACTCTGCTTTGAGTTTGAAAATGGTTGCTTGCAGTACTATGAAAAGGAAACACTCTACAGAACCATGGGCACAAGCAAGGAGACTTCAGATAGTTACATCAGAAGGCTGATGGCAGTAGAATTGATGAGAATGGGCAGAGACAGACTCTGAATGGAGAGGAGCATGCGTGCTAGTGAACTGCATAGCACATATAGAATAAAGTAAAAAGATGGGTTGAACAGACTCTGACCTTTCTGTTTTCAGTACCCGGTACTGAAGCTAGGCACTGAATTTGCATAAATTTAAATCTCATGATAAGCAAATGCTCTATAATTGAGTTAGGTCCTGAACATGCATTTTGTTTTCATGGGATGAGTTCTCAGTAAATTAGAGAGGCTGGCTTCACTCTGGATCTCAGCCTCTGTGAAGCCATCACTACAAGTCTCTGTCTACCAGTATATTCTGTTTGTTTGGTTGCCTGGCTGGTTTGGTTTTTGGTTTGGAGGTCTACATGACAACTGCCATATCTAGGAGAAAAGCGTCAAAGGTAAAGGTGAAGCAGTGTAAGTTCAGCTCTAGGAAGGTTAAACTGACCAGCCAAGTGGGATAAACTGAAATACAAACTGATGCTCAGGGAAAAGATTAAGACTAGAGATTACAAAATTGGTTGACACTTCAATATAGGGATTTCTAATTTGCTAAGTATCTTCCAGCAAGTTTCAAATGGGACTCTTACCTACCAGATTTGTCCCAGCAATAAATAATTAATTAAAGTCATGCCTTGAAACTACTTAACTTGTTGTTTTTAAAGAAACATAGAGCCTGCAACGTACAACACTAAATGTGAAAAAAAAAAAAACTGGATGATATAAGCAAACTCAAAAATCCAGGAAGGCCAGAAAGGTGATCTAAAACCAAGATCAATTTACACAGAAACAAAAGTAAAGTACAAGACTTGAGGGTTAAAGATGGGAGTCAGGGGCCAGTCAGTCTAGCAAAGGGTCAACCTGTTAAAGCACAGCTCACAAAAAAGTACTCTGAAAGAGGAATGTCACTGGAAGTACAAATGGTGCCTGAAAGGGCACTAAACAGACAAAGTCAGACAGATACAACTCTGGAGAACTTAACATAAGCAGAAAGAGTACCTGTTTTCAAGGATCTGAAGAGCTAGCACAGAGAAATAAAAGTAAATGGCCGTACCTGCTGGGGAGTACAGAGTAGATTAACCTGGTGTGTTTCAATAAGTTAATGAGCTCCAAAATGAAAAATGCCCCCCAATGGAAAAGTCCTCCTAAAAAGGAGGGATGTGAAACATACATGTAAAATATTCCACTCATGTATTAGAGACTTTGTCCCGAGATCTAGCATGCTATTGTCACCTCCAAACATCCCCTACCTCCAACCTTGGGAATATCACAGGCTCCTTTGGCCCTCTAGATTTTCTAAAAGCCATGTATTCCCAATATTTAGCTGAGAGATGCTAAGAAATATATCATACGAAATAGTATTGAGAAGGAATTCCAACACACCACAAAGAGTTTAACTTGCTTTCTGATAAGGTAATTCACATATAAACCAAAAGTACTCTCACTGTTAGGCATTATCACTTTTCTGTGTTTATACCTGGCTTCATCAATTCTGAGGAGACATCAAAAGGGTCCCGGTAAAGGAAAAGCTTCTCGCCTTCTCCAACAGGTGGAGCTGTCTTTCCAGGAACATAGAACATCAGCGGTACACGGGTAGTCACATCAAAGTTGCTGTATTTTGCCCATTCTCCGTGTTCACCTAGGGCCCATCCTGGGCCATAAAAAGCACACAATAGAAGAAAATGAATATTATGGTTTGTTTACTTTAATTACCATTTCATTTCTCAGTAAAAAGACCAGGGGATACCAAAGCTGATAACTTAAGGAATCTCTCTAGAATTATAACATTCACATTTTATAAAATTCACAGGTAATTCACATACATGTTGCTTTAGTCAAAGGCAGACATCTATCCGGAAAAAAAAGAAACATTCAAAAAGGAACAACCTTAAATTCCCAAACTATAATATTTTCTTTTTAAAAGTAATGAGAAATTCACACACACAATGAATTTTATCTGTTTCAAGAGGCTCCAAATAAACACACCTCCCTTGCCAAGATAGAAATCTTCCCGTACTTTAGTGTCTATTGAACACAAACTCTACCACTCAGCTGCACTGAGAAACTCATCCTGGATGATAGAGACCTGAAAGCTAGCCATTCCACTACCCTACCCTCTGACTATCTCTTCACCATAACATGGACCTCAGGTTCTTAATGAGGCTGTATAACTACATAACTGTACACAAGATAAAGATATCTTGGTCTTTTATTATTTATTAATTCATTTATTTAATATGCATTGGTCTTTTGCCTGCATAAATGTTTGTGTGAGGGTATAGGATTCCCTAGAACTGGAGCTACAGGCAGTTTTGAGCTGACATGTGGGTTCTGGGAATTGAACTCAGGTCCTCTGGAGGAGCAGTCAGTGCTCTTAACAACTGCGCTGTCTCTCCAGCCCCCATCTTGATCTTTTAAAAGACGTACTGTATACATTCAGATGTGAGGCAAAAAATAACACAAATGTTCACCTCTGACTAAGAAAAAGAAATCCTTATCATACATTTAAAGTACCCATTCCAAAAGATAATGTGAATACTACAGTTTGGGAATCCCCAACTCGCTTACATATGAGCATGCTTTAAAGACAAAAGTGTGTGGCAAAGATTGTATGAGGAGAATTTCATGTAAAAATAACCACAGATACCAAAAGCTTACGTGACCAAAGGGAAGAGCCAGCATACACCTGTACATTAATTAACACAATCACATTTGCTGACTTTTGCTAGAGGAGGTTGCAGAGGCTAGCCTGCAACTTCCCTTCTTCAGTCTCCAGACAATGCTGGAGCTATAAATGACTGCTATATACATTAAAAGTCATGAGGCTAGAAATACAGCTCAGTGGTTAACAGTGCTTCCAGAGGATTAAAGTTTGGTTTCTAGTACCTATGTCAGGCGAATCACAGCTGCCTGTAATTCTAGCTGGTCTCCAGGGGAACTTGTACATATAGCAGACACTTATACAGAAGTACACACATAAATAAAAATAAAATAAATTGGGGCTGGAGACATAGCTCGGAAGTTCAGAGCACTTCCTCCTCTTCCAGAGGACCCAACCTGAATTCCTAGCACCCATGTCAGGCAGTTCACAATTTTCCATGGCTCCAGCACCAGAGGTTCTGGAGACTCCTACTATCATCTTGCAGGCACTGTACTCATGTACACACACAAACAAACAAATATATACATAATTTAAAAACAATAACACATTTTTAAAATGTTAAGAGAGATAAAAACAAATCCTCTCTGACAAACAACTAAAATATGTAGCACCTGTCTCCATTCTCATATATCCAAGATGGAGATCCAAGAACAACTAGTTGCCCCTATAGCTGCCCATGATCCTAGACTCAGGGCACTGCTGTTTTACATAAGAGGGAACCCCTATATACATGGAAATGTTTCAAAGTATGCTGTTATAGGAAACTTAAATGCTCAATGTGCCAATGCACTAAAAAAGGCTTACCATGATCAGATGTGAAAGCAATAATTGTGTTGTTGGCTAGATGAAGATCATCCAAAGCACTCAAAAGATGCCCAACCTGAGTATCCAAATAGGACACAGAAGCAAAGTAGCTCTGGCGGATTTTCCGCTACAAATGAAAAAAAAAATTACAAGAATAAGAGCAATTTTAATTACCTTGGCATACAAAGAGAATTCTCTCAATCCCAACCTCTCCATTGTTTGATTCTTAGCCTAAACTTATCATTCCTTTTTCTACCTTCTGTAGCCCTTTTCCTAAAGAGGAGAGACTAACAATCTGTGGGATGAAACTGACATGTTTGAAATTTAATCAGCTTTTACTTTAGGACACAGGCCATGGCAAATGAATGACAGTTACTGTTCCTTTCTGTCTACTCTGCATATTCTGGACGGTCTCTAGAAATGATCATCTAAACAGAAAATTATTCCTTAATCTTTGTATGCCCAGAGCTACACTTTCCTTGATGAGGGGTATGCCAAAGATACCACTCAGCTCAATTCAAGCCACCTGGTGACCTGAAAAACTAGAAATGATTGTCTCCTAGCCACAGATACCAGGAGTTCAATAACAAGGTTTGGGCAGGGCCATCTCTGAAGGTTCTAGAGGAACTTGTATTCTTTGGCTTGCAGTAGTCATTATACTTTGTCTTATTCTTCTAATGCAGTTCTTCCTACATCAGTTTCTGTCACTATCCTACTTACTTGACCCCTTTCTTATCAAGGCAACAGTCATGTTGTGTTAGGGACTTAATCAGTATGACTATAAGATGGGGGGCTGAAATTGACCAGGGAGCAGTAACTAAGTGGAATATAGGAGAACCCTGTTATGCATACTGAAATAGAGGGAGGACAGAAAGGTTAGCAAGGAAGTCACATAGATTATATCAGATTGGTAAAGAATGAGAAAGTAGCACCAAGCTTCAGAAAGCTAGAGACTTACAAGATAGATTTTGCCAACAAGGTCAGTGCCTGCTACAGTGAGAACTCTTAGTGATCAGGGGTGGCAGAAGTCCATGCAGAGAAAAATGTAGGACAAACAGACCAAAAAGATCATGAATGTAGCCAGAATAGGCCTGTCTTCACTACCTTCAAACAGTAGGTGAGAGAGCAGAGCATCAAAGAGAAAGAGAAGAAAACTGGGCAGAGGTAAGAGATATGGTACAAAGGGACATGAGCAGACAAAGAGGCTGAAGAGAACATCACCAAAGTAGGAAGAGACCTCACCAAACAAGCAAAGAACTCACTTGGGCAGCTGAGGACCTCTGCTTAGTAGTGATAGAGGTTCTCTCCAGCAGCTCTCATGGCTGGACTGTCTCATGATTAGGATACTGCAACTGGGACAATTGTGCAGAAGAGAACACAAGAACAAGAAAAGTCATGCCATGGGGCCTCCTTCCCCAAGACAGATTGGGAATAAGGGTAACTAGAATGTCAGGCAAGGGCACTGCAAGGGTTAGAGGTCATAACCAGGCGTGTGACCAAGCAGGTTAGGCCTAAGCATAAAACTGGGAGGCTAAAGGAAGGAGAGAGGTAAGTTTAGAAAAGATATCCTAAGCTGCTACTACAGGCCAAGGAGCATGGCTCAGGTCCAAAGCGCATGACAGGCATGGCCCTACACACAAGATTACCCAAGTGACGATATGGGCCATGTTGTCTGCTGTGTCCAATACCAAGGAGTATAAGGAAAGCATATAGAACTTGAAAGGAGTTCTCTCCATGCAAATGACACTAACCCTGTGTACTTCCACAGATTCTCTACACTATTTCCTAAATCTTCAAGTCAATGTTCTCACAGAAAACTTTTTTTTGTTGTTTGATTAAGGAAGTGAGGTCCAGTGATTTGACAGGGGCCATGCTGCTGGTATGAAGTAGAAAGTGAATTCAAAACTTTTCTGAATGGACAAAAACAACCATGGAAGTTTAAAGTTATGTGTCCATGAGGCTGAACCAGCTCCACTTGGCACCAGCTCCGTGTCCCACCAAGTCACACATTGTCTGAAAACAGTGAGGTTCTCATTCATTTGGAACACTCAAATGCTTAGAGCTCTTGCTAGCACCCAATAAAGTAGCATTGTCACTGACTGTCACTAATAAAATATTCAGGCACAGACCTAAAGCTGTTCAAACCATCTTGTTATCAGACTTGACAACACAGAACTAGGAAGCTATCTGGCAAATTGACACATGTGTTGTTTCAAAACCATCTCTACTTGCCATTTGGGAACATAGTTCAGTAGTAGAGTACTTCCTAGTATATGTGAGGCCCTCAATTCAATCACTAGTACTGCAAAAAAACTAAAAAAGAAAATAGGAAAAGAGAAAGAGAGGATGTCCATATGCAGAGGTGGGCCAGAACTATATATTTTTAACAAGCACACTTAGCAAATCTGATAAGACAGTCCAAGGAGCACAGTTTGAAAATGTTATCCTCCTTTACCCACTACCACCTGCTTCAGCATTTCTGTCCTAAGACTTCAGAAAAAAAAATACAGCTCCACATGTCTTTCTTAATCCCAGAAGAGAAGCTGAAGGATGAGGGGATGACTCAACCTAACCAAATGACTAACTTATAGGCTGCTCTACCTCCATACTAGAGCAGAGAGATACCAGATATCACGGCTGACAGCACTGGCCATGATAGCCACCTATGTCTGTACCAAGGCTCAGCTCACTCACTCACCCAATAATGGCAGATGACAGTTTAGGCTTTTCCACAGAGAAACAAAAGTACCAGAAAACTAAGCTGTGGCTTCTGCACAGCTGCTGACACCCTATAATTAATGAAATGTGACCAATTAAACCCCCATGGGCTACGGAGGTTCACAAACTACATCTAATCCCTGTGCCTGCTTCTAGAAAGTCTGGATGCTACCTTCTTAGGAAGCTAAGGCACTAGTAAAGAGGCTTGATCTGCACAGCACTTCTCCTATAAATACCAATAGAAACCCACTGCCCCCCCCCACACACACACACACAAAAAAAAATTCACAAGGAAGGGTTTTGTTTGTTTGGGGTTTTAGAAACAAGATTTTACTATTTAGCCCAGACTGACCTTGAACTCATTATTTAAACAGGTTTCCCTTGAACTCAAAAGTAGCCTCACCAATGTTATCACACCATTAGTGCTTGATATATCCCCCAAGTATACCACTGGTACCTGAAAATCCACAGGAATTGGGCCAAAGGGCACACTGATGTTTAAGGCTTGGACATCCTCCCGCTCCCTGATATCCATCCAAGGGTTGTAGGCTACAGCTGGTAGGCCATCCGGAACACTGGGATCAGGAGCCAGGGTGATGTTTTCCAAGGGATATAACTTCTGAAATTCCTAGGAGAAAAACATACAAAGCCACAAGGTTGCTACTCATTTGGCAAAATCACAAGACTGTGTTTTTTGAAAGCCTAAGATACATTTACTTGGTGCTAATGCTCCCCAGGTACTCACCTACCCTCACCTGCTATCTACCTTATGCCACTCTTGTAAGACCTAAACAGTAACAAAATCCTAAAACATGTTGCCGATGATGACAGCAGCAACTGTTCTCTCCTCTCACACACAGGTGCCCTCCTGCTCCTGTCCCCACTTTACTCCCATACAAAGGTGTGGTGAAGCACATTGGGTTCCCAAAACCTCCCTCAGCTTCAGTGAATCATGAGGAAAATTCACAGGATTTAGCAGAAGGTCTCAATTATTAGAGTGAAAAGATTTCAAATCGAATAAGCAAAGGAAAATCAAACATGAAGGCATGTCTGGAGGAACCCAATGCCAAGCTTCTGAGTCCTTCCCTAAGAATTTCACATAGGAGGCACATACTGCCCCAGTTAGTTGAAAGACAGTGCATGTAAAATGCTGCCAACCAGTGAAGCTCATGAAAACTGCAGGACCCAGTTTTGACATGGGGCACTCCGCCTGGACCGTAAAATTTCAGACGGAAGGAAAGTGGTGATTTAGCATATACCATGTCTGTCAAAACCACTTAGGCACTTCCAAATCAAAGTTCCCAGCCTTATAAGCAGACCCCAAAGGCTGGCAGCTAGGCAGCTTTGTGAACTCTTTTTCTGCAAGAAAGCAAAAGAGGTTGAATGTCACAAGCTTCTTCCAAAGGGGCTGAAAGCTCCTCCTATGAGGGCAAGATCTTCAAGGCTAATCAAACTAGATGCCTACAACATCAAAGAGCATACTTCCCAGTCTATACTCTCTTTTATAACTGAGGGACATGCTTTATAAAGTGAAAAGCCCAGAAAAAAAAAGGAAGCAGAGAAAATCTGAAAAAGTTTATTTTAAAGGACTTTATATGTTCTAAATGACATAGAGAAGCATAAGATTTGAAGTGCCAAGGAGCAATTCTGTCTCCTGACACAGAGCCTAATGTGTCAGCCTTAGGGAGGAATGACAGTCTGGGAAGGGGGTTTCATGTTTCCTGGGATTATTTCCCTTTTGGCTTCTGGTGGTTTTGCCTCACCTCTGTAGGACATCATTATACAATCCTACCTGCATGATGAGTTCAAACAAAAGAAATCAAACCTTCAGTGGTGGAAAGCAGGAAACTAAGCATTTCTTGCAAGGCTCTCATGTTTACTTGTTTGTTTTGTTTTGTTTCTTTGAGACATGGTTTCTTTGTGTACCATGGTTGTCCTGGAACTCTCTAAGTAGACCAGGCTGGCCTCAAACTCAAAGAGATCCACCTGCTTCTAGGTGCCACCACCAGCATCCAGCTTCTTATAAGATTCTTACATGTTCTAATATTACTTCTTGTTCTTGAACTTTGACTACCACCATTCCAAGTACACCTAGTAACCATCACGAATCCTGGCAGGTTATGACCACCTTCAATACACAAATGGTTCTCTGTGAATAAATATCACAGATATAAGGCTATGTTGGATTAGCCCTCAGGCAGCTCTTCACCTTGGGGTATCTGAAGGGGATGTGTGGCTTGTGATACCCAACTGCCAGGAAGAAAGGACTGACAGATGATTTCAACTTTTCCAACAATCGAATGGCTTCCTCTGTGCTCTGTTTGTCAGGCAAGGTGCCTTCGGGCACATCTGCCACATCCACAGGACAAAGCAGGTTGGCATGGAGTTTTCCATCTTTTCCCCTACATGTCTTTCAAAACAAAATATATAACATCAGTCCATTAGATTCAATATCTAGAAATCCTGACAGTTACACACTGAATGAAAAGCACCATAAACCACTCACAGGGAACAGGCAAATTAAAAGCAGAATTGAACCAGCCAATATTTGTCCTTTCTCCAGACAGGGGTAAAAAACATATAACACTCAGTTTATTGCTGTGAATCCTGTCTCCAAACCATAACTAATTAAAGGACACCAAAATAAACTATCAAAAGGATATCAAAAGGCTACCATCTTCAGCTCAAAATTTGATCCAGAGTGAGCATCAAAATTCCACTAAGTGAACTGATCACACTATTGCTTAAAGTTAAGGTTTTAATTAATTATTTGTATATGTGTACACATGTGTTTGTACACATGCCAGTGAACATTTTGGGAGATACATAAGAAAAGTAGAGGTTAACTTCAGTTGTTGCTCAGAAGCTATTCACACCTTGTTTTTTTGAGAAAGGGTCTCTCACTGAGACATTAGGCTTGGCTGGCTGGGCAGCAAGCTCCTGCTTGTGTCCCCAACACTGGCTTCTTGATAGGTGTTAGGAGTAGAGCTTGGTCCTCATGCTTACAGAGAAAGCACTTTACTGAGCTGTGACCTTGACCCAACTTAAGGTTTTAGAATGAGGAAAAAAAATAACCCAATCAGTCAGGCGGGTGTGATAGAGCATGCCTCTAATTCCAGCAGTATGAGGGAAGCTGAGGCAGGATTATGACTCTGACGCCAGCCCTGGCTTCAGAGCAAGTTCCAATCCAGCCTGATTGGACTCTGTATTAATACACTGTAAAAAAAATAATCTCACAAAAAAGTACATGTTATGCCCATCAAACCAATTGCTAACGTTTGTTTCTATAAGACATTACAGCAAGCAAAAGCTACAAAAATCAGAGTTTAACAGCTTAAAAGAAAATGCAATATATTTAATGGTTCATTTGTTAGGCAAGAGACAGTACTTCCTCGGCCCATTACAGATTTACCTTAGTGTTTTCATACTTCTCTGAACTTGGATGATAAGGTGGAAAAGACCAACTATATGGAGAATCATCACTGTGATTGGAAGATATACCTTAAATGAGAGGAAAGAATATTATTAAATAAAATGTGAAAGGTCCTTTAATACTCTATTGCCAAATGAAAACTGAACAACTATGCAAGTACCTCCTCCACTCTTTGGGCCTCGGTTTTCTCACCTATAAACTCAGGAAGTCAATCTAATCTGTTTCTACTAAGACCAATTATTCAGGTCATCATTTTAGTAATAAGCATTTAACTTCCAACTTCCTAAGCCTTGTGAAATTTATACTATTCCCTATCTATGAAAGAAATTTAAAATGGCAAGATCAGCCATCCTGGCATATCGGTATAGTTCCTCAGAATCCAAGCTAAAGGTTCTTGACCACCCTAACGAAGCAACAAGGACATAAGAAGAAAGCCAAAAAGCATTGTCACCACCATGAGACAAATGAACATAGAGAGGTTCAGAGAGGGCCCATGCCTTGCACAGTGCCAATGCAATAGATGAATAAGCCAAGACTCCAATCCATGCCTTCACCTCCAAGATCACAAGTACTCAATCTATAAAGTGTACCTCTAGCCCAAAGCTTAGTAGTTTACTGTGTACCAAGCAAAACAAATAGCATATACAACCAAGAAAGAGATTCCAGCTGTCATGAGTACAGAAGAGCCTTGGAAGTGAGGTGTCTGTAAGACACAGAGAACCTTATCCCTAAATATAGTCATCAGGAAGGAGATCAAAGCACAGAGGCCTTATTTGGTTTCCCTTCCCAAAGTATAATCTCCTGTAGAAAATACTCACTTCCCTCCAGGTGTCCTCAGGCAAGCAATGTTGTAAATACCAAACTAGGAAGTTCAACTGATAATCAGCTTTGGGCCACACAATATGATTTTGGATACACCGTTTTCAAATCTGGGCCTGCTGTTTTCAATCTGGAATGCCAACTAGATTCCAGAAGAAAACACCCGAACCTGTCAGGTATAATAATGTGCAAAAAGGCTCTTGGAGACATTCAAAGCTGTCTCCTTTGGTAATAAGTACCATCACCTGGACAGATCTAGCACTTTGAACACACCTCACACTCATGGATGCCCACACTGACATGTTCCCCAACTTCCAAGAGAAGGAATTTAAGATTCAAAGAAGATAACAATTAGCTAAAGTCAGCCACAAAGCTAAGAAATGGCAGCACCTGAGACCAAGACCAGGTATCCACATCCCTGATTCTATTGCCCACTGTAGTTGATTCTGCTTCCAGAGATGTTCACATCAATGACAAGTCATACACTTGAATATGTCAGACTACTGTGCTGTCATTAAAAATAGATTTTTGTGGAATGTAATATAATGGGAAAATATTTACTCTCACTCAGGATGTAAAATTATAAATACAACATAACTACATATCAGAAAAACACTATGTTCAGAAAACAAGTATGAATACATCAAATGCACCTTTCCTTAGGGTGATGCAATTACACATTTACATTCTTTGGGTTTTTTCCATTCTTGAAATCAAGAAATCATGTGATCCTTCTGTTTTAAAGTGTTGTTTTTGCTTCATTTCAAAGGTAAACAATAAGACAGGCCCAGTGACACACATCTGTAATCCTGGCAGTCAGGGAGGCAGAGGCAGGTGGATCTCTGTGAGTTTGAGGCTGGCCTGGTCTACACATCCAGGGACAGCCAAGGCTACACACAGAGATACACTGCCTCAGGAAAAAAAAAGAAGTAAACAACCAGTTTATCAACTTCATACTGAACTGACTTTCTTTTTCTAGCATTATTCACAGAGAAAGCAGTAGCTTCTCCAAACTGCAGCCTATACCTGGACATCAAGTACACACAATACCTCTAGACATTCAAGGTCTTCAGATGAGGTTGCCTCATCCCCAGATTTACAGACAGGTACCCTGCAAGGCACAAGGTCAGGTCTGTAGCTGAACTGACACCAGATCTGCCTTTCCAACAGCCAGTGCACTTCCACAACAAAAGCATCTGCACGATTCCTACACTATCACCTCCTCCAACTTCTAAAAAAAACCCAATTTCTTTCTTTTCATTTTCATTTAGAATGTGAATGTGAAACTAGGTTAAAGAAGTATTTTGTTTTGTTGTTTTTCATAGAAGGACAGCAATGAACAACAACTTACCTAGCCTGTCAGGGAAAAAAAAAAAACACTACAAGGATTGTCCCAACCCAGAAAGGGAGTCTAATATTCAGGCACAGAAAGAAAGCTTAGGCTTTGGTAATTGAACAGTACCAGGGTGAAAGACTTTCCCAACCGACATGGTCACGTAGCCATTCTCCTTGAAGTATTGTGGGATGGTGGAAAAATTTCCCGAGTGTACCCTCCAGTAGGAGTTGAAGTCATACAGGTGGGTGGTGTCAGGTCTCCTCCCAGTGAGAAAAGACACACGACTTGGTGCGCACACTGCTTGCTGCGAGGGAGCAAAAGCAAACGTAAACATCATCATTACAGCCAAATGTGTCTGCAGTCTTCAAGGTAACTAAGCAACGTCTCTAGATCCTCAGCAACAGCCTGGCAGTTGAGTCATGCAGATCTCAAAGCCAACAAGTGAGATTTGAGCCTCAATCAGGTACCAGGGATGCTGTTTTCCCAGCAAACAGGCCCAGCAATCAGCCTCTCAAAAGAGCAGATGTGTGTATTTTCCTATGCAATGGCACCCCTAGGTACCCAGAGAGGATGATCCTCTCAGAGGGTAGCCCTGAAAGGGAATTCAGGGAGGATGACTGCCATGGATAGATGACTGACTCTTAGTCACCCACCACTTAGTTGGCAGACTCACAGGTTGGGTTTTTCAACTCCAGGCAGTTCCTGTTTATAGCTGAAAGCTGTCCAAGCCTGTCCTAAGCATGTTAGGGCCAGGGCATAGTCTCCACCCAAGGAAGAGAGAAAGCCTTGTAAGTACAAGCTTCCTTGTCAGTGGATAACAGGCTGGCCTAGACCTCCATTTTCTAAGTTCCACTTCCTCCTTTCAAGGAGGTCTCTAGAGCTACAACTCCCTACTATGTATACACAAAGAGGCACATACCCACACCTAAAGGTCCCTGAACATACCTGGGCAAAGGCATTCTGAAAGACAATGCTATGGGATGCCAACTGGTCAATGTTTGGGGACCTCACTAGCTTATCTCCATAACAGCCCAGGGAGGGTCGAAGATCATCCACGATGATCAGAAGGACGTTCAGAGCATCTGCACAGAAGGAAGGGACTTTAGTTATTTTACATGCACTGACATTAACCACACACACCCAGTGTAATCAGAGGATCAAGGCTGGCCCCCTGCTCCTTAATAGTTCATCTAAAAAGGGGGCAACTAGGGCTCTGCTTCAGCAAGGGTTGCAGTAGAGTACACAGAAGCCCTAATCCAGGGTTAAAGTGTTATGTATCTTTATTGGTCATGTCCTCTCACCTAGGTGAGGAAGAAAGAAACAGAGATGAAAGAGGGGGAGGGAGGATAAAAGAATGAAGGAATAGAAAAGAAAGATGGAAAGATAATAAAATGAAGGAAGGATGGATAGAGGGTAGGAAGAGGAAGGGAGGGTTGAAGGAAAGGGGAAAGGAAGAAAAATGGATAGATAGATGTAATGTGTGCCAGTGGATGGCCCCACACCCATGTATATATGAGCAGCACAAATTATACTCAGTGGGTTATAAAAACAAAAAGATGGAATAGAGTTGCGATTGAGGTAGATATATATGGACTTAGGAGGAGCAGTGGGGGTGAGTATTATAAAAATTGTATGCATTTATGAAATTCTCAAAAATTAATAAAAAAATAAAGATTAGATAATGGAGGAAATCATAAGGGATGTGAAGGAGGAAGAGATGTAAGAAGGAGGAATGGATGGGTGAAAGATGAATAGAGACTGAACAGATGGAAGATGGATAGAGGGTGGAGAGGAATGAAAATGTGGAGAGAAACAGTGAAGGAAGAGAGAAAAAAAGACAGCACAGATGGAAGAAGAAACATTAGCAAAGACATAGACAAGGTTAGATCTGGCAAGGAGGGAGGAATTGGCACCTGTATCTGAGTTGCCTTGCGCTGAAGACTCCAGGACGATCCAGAAGCCTAGTAACAAGCTAATTAGGCGCCAGCCAGGCGGCGGCGGCGGCGGCAGCTGCGGTGGCGGTGACATTCCTGCTTTGGCACAGCCTTGCGGGAAGGTGGCCTCAGGCTACAGTGGGACCATTGAGTAGCCTTAGATTCTGCGGCCGCCGCCGCCGCCGCCGCCGCCGCCACAGTCTCAATCAGAGAAGACTGCGACACCGCCGCTCTGGGCCCAAAGGCAGGAGCTCTGGTCTGACTGAGAATGCGCATGCGCAACTCCCCGCAGGCCCCGGCGTCCTTCCCTCCAGGGACTGAAGCCTGATGGGGCCAGAGATCGGTGCAAGATCCGTCACAGTGGGTGGGGCCTTAGCCGGAAACCCTGCTGCTGTGGCTTTCCCAGAGTACCCTCTATAGCAGACAGTGTTAACAGCCTGCTCGACATTCAGAAATTTGTGCAATGAGCTTGACTCTTTGCCTTTGCTGTGCCTTTTACCTGGAACTCCTACCCTGCCCTATCTGTCTATACATGTTAACTTTCCTTGCAGCACATTCTCCAGAACAGCCCTTTGGGAACTTAAACATTTTATACCTAAAAGGACACTTTTTCCTTTTTATTGGTTCAACAAATCCCTGTTAAGCGCTACACACACGCGCGGGCGAGAGCGCTAGAGCGTGTTTGTGTGTGTGTGTGTGTGTGTGTGTGTGTGTGTGTGTGTGTGTGTGT